TTTTTCCCCAATCCAGGTGGTCCCGGTGGCCCCCCTGGACCGCTGGCTGCTGGCCCGCCTGGCCGCGGCCGGGGCCGAGTGCTGCGGCCGCCTGGGGGCGCTGGAGGTGCAGGGGGCGCTGGGCGCCGTGCAGAGCTTCTGGCTGCGCTGCCTCTGCGACGTCTACCTGGTAGGGCCCCCGAAATGGCACCCCGAAACGGGCACCCAGAAATGGGCACCCCGAAATGGCACCCCGAAACGGGCACCCCGAAACGGGCACCACAAAATGAGCATCACGAAATGGGCACCCCGAAACGGGCACCCTGAACGGGCACCCCGAAACGGGCACCCCGAAATGGGCACCATGAAATGGGCACCCCGAAACGGGCACCCCAAAATGGGCATCACGAAATGGGCACCCCAAAATGGGCACCCTGAAATGGGCACCCTGAACGGGCACCCCGAAACGGGCACCACGAAACAGGCACCCCGAAATGGCACCATGAAATGGGCACTCCAAAAATGGGCACCATGAAATGGGCACCCCGAAACGGGCACCACAAAATGAGCATCACGAAATGGGCACCCCGAAACGGGCACCACGAAATGGGCACCATGAAACTGGACACCCCAAAATGGGCACCCTGAAAAATGGGCACCCCGAAATGGGCACTCCAAAAAATGGGCACCCCAAAAAATGGGCCCTGTCCCCATTTGGGATTTCTCCCCCATTTTGGGATTCCTACCCAATTTTGGGGATTTCTCCATTTGGGATTTCTCCCCAATTTGGGATTCCTGTCCCCATTCCGGATTTCTCCCCCATTTTGGGATTTCTCCCCATTTCTGGATGTCTCCCCCATTTCGGGATTTCTCCCCCATTTTGGGATTTCTCCGCCATTTGGGATTCCTGCCCCATTTGGGATTTCTCCATTTGGGGTTTCTCCCCCTTTTTGGGATTTCTCCCCCATTCGGGATTTCTCCCCCATTTTGGGATTCCTGCCCCATTTCGGGATTCTTCCCCCATTTTGGGATTTCTCCCCCATTTTGTTTTTCCTGCCCCATTTGGGGTTCTCCCTCCCCAGGAGGTGGCCAAGGCGTCGCTGCGCTCGCCGCAGCTCCGGCCCGGCGCCGTGGCCTCGCTGGCGGCCGCGGCCGAGCTGGGGCTGCGGCTCCTGGCGCCCTTCGCCCCGTTCCTGGCCGAGGAGCTCTGGCAGCGCCTGCCCCGCGCCCCCCCAGCGCCCCCCAGCGTCAGCCTGGCCCCCTTCCCCGAGCCCCAGCGGCTGGTGAGCACTGGGGGCACTGGGAGGGGATTGGGAGGGACTGGGAGGGCACTGGGAGGGACTGGGAGGGGATTGGGAGGGACTGGGGGGGACTGGGAGGGACTGGGAGGGGATTGGGAGGGACTGGGAGAGCACTGGGAGGGACTGGGGGACACTGGGGGACACTGGGGGATACTGGAGGGATACTGGGGGATACTGGGAGGGACTGGGGGGACACTGGGGGACACTGGGGGGACACTGGGAGGGACTGGGGGACACTGGGAGGGAACTGGGGGGAATTTGGGGGATGGGGGGAGGCTTCTGGGGGGATTTGGGGGATCCCCTGAAGCTTCCCTGGTGGGTTGGGAGTTCCTGGGGGGGCTTTGGGTGGTTTTTGGGGTCCTTGGGTGGTTTCTGGGGTTCCCCAGGGGGGTCCTTGGGCAGATTTTGGGGCTCCTGGGGGTGTTTTTGGGTGTTTTTTGGGGTTCCTGGAGGGGATTTGGCTGCTTCTTGGGGTTCCCGGGGGAGGGTTGGGTATTTTTTGTGGTTTTTGGGTATTTATTGGGGTGGTTTTGGGGGTTCCCAGTGGGTTTTTGGGGTTCCTAGGGGTTTTTGGGTGGTTTTTGTGGTTCCCAGGGGTGCTCTGGGTGTTTTTTGGAGTTCCTGAGGGGTTTTTGGGTGTTTTTTGGGGTTCCCAGGGGGCTCTGGGTGGTGTTTGGGGTTCCCAGAGGGGTTTGGGTGGTTTTTGGGGTTCCCAGGGGGCTCTGGGTGTTTTTTTGGGGTTCCCAGGGGGCTCTGGGTGGTGTTTGGGGTTCCCAGGGGGCTCTGGGGGGTGTTTGGGGTTCCCAGGGGGCTCTGGGAGGTGTTTGGGGTTCCCAGGGGGCTCTGGGAGGTGTTTGGGGTTCCCAGAGGGGTTTGGGTGTTTTTTGGGGTTCCCAGGGGGCTCTGGGAGGTGTTTGGGGGTCTCACCCCCGTACCCCGGGCAGGCGCACTGGCGCAGCCCCGAGCTGGAGGCGCAGGTGGCCGCCATGCTGGAGCTGGTCCGGGCCGTGCGGGGGCTGCGCGAGAGCCTCCGGCTGGGGGGGGCCGCGCGCCCCCCAGGTGAGCCCCGCGGGGGGAGGGGGCGCGGGGCCGCGGCTCCCAGCATGCCCCGGGGGGGTGGGGGGTGGGGGACTACAAATCCCAGCAGGCTTTGGGAGAGTCAAGATGGCCGATCAGACACAGACTACAAATCCCAGCAGGCTTTTGGGGGAGTCAAAATGGCCGATCAGACACAGACTACAAATCCCAGCGTGCCTTGGAACAGTAGCGGGAACTACAAGTCCCAGCATGCTTTGGGGGGGAGTCAAAATGGCCAATCAGACATGGACTACAAGTCCCAGCATGCTTTTGGGGGAGTCAAGATGGCTGATCAGACACAGACTACAAATCCCAGCATGCTTTTGGGGGAGCCAAGATGGCTGATCAAACTTGGACTACAAATCCCAGCCTGCCTTGGGGGGAGCCAAGATGGCTGATGAGACCAGGACTACAAGTCCCAGCATGTTTTGGGAGGAGTCGAAATGGCCGATCAGACATGGACTACAAATCCCAGAGTGCCTTGGAATGTTAGTGGGGGGAGCTACAAGTCCCAGCATGCTTTGGGAATGCCAAAATGGCCGATGTAGGTGTGGGACTACAAATCCCAGCATGCCTTGGGATCGGCCAATGCGATCAGTGGTGGGAACTACGAGTCCCAGCATGCTTCGGGGGGCCCAATATGGCTGATCAGACAGGGACTACAAGTCCCAGCATGCTTTGTGGCGCATCCATATCCCAGCATGCCCCTCCCTGCCCCAAGATGGCGGCCCCCGCGGTGGCAGCCATATTGTGGGCGTGGTTTTCCCGGCAGTGCTGGTGCAGTGCCCGGAGCCGGATCGTGATTGGCTGGAGCCGCTCGGCCCCGCCCTCCAGGCGCTCTCGGGGGCGGGGCCTGTGCGGTTCCTCCCCCCGGGGGCGGGGCCGGGGCCGGGCTGGGCGGGGGCGGCGGCGCCTTCCGGAACCTTCGTGCACCTGC